GGAAAGGCTACAGACCAGGAACTAGGGGAGTAACTAACCAGCCTTCCAATCACATCTTGTCTTGCAGGTGGCCTATGCAGGACTGGTGCAGAAACTACTTGTCTCCCTTTCATAGCACTCCTTTGCCCCCGAGCACAGAGAATGGAAAAGCCAGGGAGGTGGAAGATCTGATGCTTCCAGCTGTGCCTCTGCTGCCAGCCAAGTCTTCATTTGGGGCCAAAGGGGAAACTATTTTTTTGGAGACAGAGTCTCGCTCTTTCGCCCAGGCTGGAGTGCAGTGGCATGATCTCAGCTCACCGCAACCTCCACCTCCCGGGTTCAAGCGATTTTCCTGCCTCAGCCTCCCGAGTAGCTGGGAATACAGGCGCACCACCATGCCCAGCTACTTTTCGTATTTTCAGTAGAAACGGGGTTTCACCATGTTGGCCAGGCTGCTCTCGAACTCCTGACCTCAAGTGATCTGCCCACCTCAGCCTCTCAAAGTGCTGGGATTACAGGCGTGAACCACGGCGCCTGGCCCAAAGGGGAAACTTGTGGGAGGAGCAGAGGGACCCACATCTCCCCTCTGGCTCCCCCATGCACGGTTGCCTTATCTCTCCCCCTCTAGCCAGGAATCTGTTGTGTTTTTCTTCTGTCAATTTACTATGATTGTATATGTGCCGCTACCACCAACCCCCCCCATGGGGGGGTGGAGAGGGGTGCAAGGCCCTGCCTGCTCCACTTTTTCTACCTTGAAACTGTATTAGATAAAATCACTTCTGTTTGTTCCGTTTTTCACCACCAGCATTCCTGACTGCTCTTTCACAGTTCTTCTCCATCCCTGCCATGGCTGATAATCAGGGTTCTCTCCTTCAGAGCACAGCAATCTAGGAGCTAAAGACTGCCTTCAAAGCATGGAACCAAACTGCTAACTGTGTAACCTCATGTCTGTCCCTGAAGTCCCAGGAGAACAAACAGTTTTACACCATTAGATACTTTAAGAACCCCCGAAACAACCAGGTTTGCAAGAGCAGTATTCATAGGATAAACAAATAGCAAATGTACAGCCTTGGCGCCCCAAACTCCACAGTCTCAGTGCAGAAAGATCATCTTCCAGCAGTCAGCTCAGACCAGGGTCAAAGGATGTGACATCAACAGTTTCTGGTTTCAGAACGGGTTCTACTACTGTCAAATGACCCCCCATACTTCCTCAAAGGCTGTGGTAAGTTTTGCACAGGTGAGGGCAGCAGAAAGAGGATAGTTGCTGATGGACACCATCTTCTCTGTATACTCCACACTGACCTGAGGAGAGAACAGTTTTGTCAGCCAACTCTGTCCGTCAGCAGCTGTTCAACCCTTCCTTAGGGCAGGAAAACTACAGCTAACCTAATATTTCAGCTGTGCTGTGTAATATCCGATTCCTACAAAGGATGAAGAAGGTCCTAACTGTGACTATCACAAATATGGCAGCAGTCCTCAAAGGATGCACCCTGGGGCAGGGTATGGAACCATTGTGTGTCTACTAGCTCACTGTAAGCATTGTTAAAATGCCTATTGCTCTGGGAATTCTTAAGTTCAGCTCTACCAAGAATCTCAGGGTTGAGCCCAGACCTTACCTTACCATGGGCAAAGGCCCCCACCACAAAAACAATAGGATCACTGCTGGGCACTAGCTCACGCAGATCACTGACAACCGGGATGGAAAAAGAAGTGCCAACTTTCATACATCCAACTGGAAAGTGATCTGATACTGGATTCTTAATTACCTAAAGTGAAAAAGAGAAAATTCAGCCACAGAAACATTCCCAGAACCAACCTTGAACTAGTAGATTTCAATACCTCACCTTCAAAAGCTTCTGGGGGCCATCAGCGGCTCGAACACTGAGCTTGTGTAAAAGCTGAACTAGAAAGGGGAAAAAGAGTTCAGAGCTAGATGAAGACCACAGTCCTTCTGTCCAGTCATTGAACAAGGAAAATCTCATCGGTAAGATGGGTTCCCTGTGTGCTTTATATCCAGACTGGACTCCTGAAATGTCAGGAACAAACAGCTGCCAAGCATATGGCTAGCTGTACAATGATAGGTTCAGACTCCCATTCTCACTCAGCAGGGAAGCTACTGCAAGAACAGGAGAGTGGAGTTTCGACAAACAAAAATAATAGGAGTCCTTGTCCTAGACTAATCATGTCCTCCCATCTCCTCCCTTAAAAAAAATCCCGTATTTGGCCGGGCGCGGTGGCTCAGGCCTGTAATCCCAGCACTTTGGGAGGCCGAGGCGGGTGGATCACGATGTCAAGAGATCGAGACCATCCTGGTCAACATGGTGAAACCCCGTCTCTACTAAATATACGAAAATTAGCTGGGCATGGTGGTGCGCGCCTGTAGTTCCAGCTACTCAGGAGGCTGCGGCAGGAGAATCGCTTGAACCCAGGAGGCGGAGGTTGCGGTGAGCCGAGATTGTGCCATTGCACTCCAGCCTGGGTAACAAGAGCGAAACTCTGTCTCAAAAAAAAAAAAAAAAAAATCCCACACTTAGTTCTCCCTTTTCCTCCCTTCTTCCCTACGTCCAAGTTCATTCCGAACTTTGTTCTAAGGCTTCTTACCCATGAGGCCACAAAAGCGGTCAAAGGTTCTAGGAATTCGGGTCTGGGGGTTCACTTCAATCAGAACATTCTTCTGTGTGTGGATATAAACCTGCAGCAAGCCAGCTCGGTTCAGGGGACTATCCATCAGCATTAGCAAGCTCTGACCAAAGCAGAAACCAAGGCATGGTTAAGGCTGAAGAGACCCTTCCATACAGAGACTCAAACGGTTGTGAGCGTTGTCCCTGGAGTTACCTGGTGGGCTATGTCTGGCCGCACTTCCCCGGGGTCCCGTCCATTTTTCAACAATATAGACTTGTGCTTGTCACAGTTGAGTAGCTCATACGTCTTCCCTACCTGAACAGGGAACATGACCAAAGAACAGCATAAGCTTCTGTTACCTAACCCCATGATTCTTGAAATGTGGTACCCAAACCACCAGCAGCAGTTGCACCTGGAAACTTGTTAGGCAAATTCTCAGGCCCACTCTAGACCTACTAAACCAGAAACACTGGAGGTGGGGCCCAGCAAGTTCTTCAGGAGATAACTGTGCACTCCCCAGTAAATGGTCTTAGAGGGAAACAGGAGGAAGGGCCCAACCTGTGACTTCACATTATCTACCAATATACTGGATTTACTTTTAAAACCTGTGGCTGTTAGGCAAAGCTAATGAGACATCCTGGAACCAAGCAGGACTTAGCAGTTAGTGAGCAAGGCTGAATGCTGTGTTTATCACAGGAGCAGTATGTATATACTGTCCAAAATATAGTCACTACCCTCAGTTTGCTTACATCAAACATGCACTAAGTGAAGAGCTGCAAATCTGAGGAAGAAGTGTGAAAATTCTAATGATGCAAGAGGCAATTTAATAAAAAAAAACTCTCAGAAGTAAAATGAAGAGGGGTTACTCCCAGTTTTAAGATTGGCATGAGGGTGAGACATGGTGGCTCACACCTGTAATACCAGCACTTTAGGAGGCTGATGCAGGCAGATCACTTAAGGTCAGGAGTTCAAGACCAGCCTGGGCAACATGGTGAAACCCCGTCTACTAAAAATACAAAAACTAGCTGCGCATGGTGGCACACACCTGTAGTCTCAGCTACTTGGGAGGCTGAGGTAGAAGGATGGCTTGAGCCCAGGAGATGGAGGAGACTGCACGACTGCACTCCAGCCTGGGTGACAGAGCAAGACCCTGCCTCAAAAAAAAAAAAAATACCCGCACTCTGGGAGGCCGAGGCGGACAGATCACGAGATCAGCTCCCAAGTAGCTGAGACTACAGGTGTGTGCCACCATGCCCAGCTAGTTTTTGTATTTTTAGTAGACGGGGTTTCACCATGTTGCCCAGGCTGGTCTTGAACTCCTGACCTTAAGTGATCTGCCTGCGTCAGCCTCCTAAAGTGCTGGTATTACAGGTGTGAGTCACCATGTCCCACCCTCATGCCAATCTTAAAACTGGGAGTAACCCCTCTTCATTTTACTTTACTTTTTTATTAAATTGCCTCTTGCATCATTAGAGACCAGAGTGGCCAACATAGTGAAACCACGTCTCTACTAAAAACACAAAAAAGTTAGCCTGGTGTGATGGTGGTGTGCGCCTATACTCTCAGCTACTCAGGAGGTTAAGGCAGGAGAATCGCTTGAACCGGGAAGGTGGAGGTTGCAGTTAGCCGAGATCGCGCCACTGCACTCCAGCCTAGGCGACAGAGCGAGACTCCGTCTCGAAAAAAAAATGAGTACTACCATCCCAGGATATCAAATCAACAGACAGACAGCCAAGCCACCTTTCTCCAAAAACATTTTTCACCCCTTTCTGCTTTCTCTATCCACTCCGAGCCCCTCACCCTCATTCCACGGAGTCCCAACTTGCGATTTACCAGTTCTCCACTTCCTTTCCTAAACTACCTTGACTGTCTCCAGACTGGCCCCTTCCAGCACCACAATAAGCCTACGGCCTCCGATCTTGTTTCCTGCCCCGACTCGGGGCCGCTTGGGGGCCACAGCATCCCAGTCCTCCAACTGCTCCCCACAGCTTCGCTCACGAGGCTTGAATCCACCACTGGGCGCGGCCATCTTGCAACCAGACCGGAAGTTGCGCTAACGCTCTTAAAGGAGAACCCCGCGGCTTTTAATCACAAATTTCCTTCCGGCTGCCATTTTGAAAGTGGGCTTGGAAATGGCGATGACTTACTGTCTTGCGCTGCCCTCCCTGAGAGGGCAGCCTTCCAGAAAGGGGCGGGACTTCCGGATACGCGATTCCTGTGCGCGAAGTTCGGGTCCGTAGAGGGCTCAGGGGGAGGGTTTCGAAGGGAGCGCACTTCCGGTGCCCTTTCTTTCCCCAGCATTAAGGGTCCGAACCCTCGTGTGAAGGGTGCAGTACCTAAGCTGGAGTCGGGTAGAGGAGGGCCGGCACCCCCTTCTCACTTCTGGTGCCGCCAGCCTCAAGATTAGACATGGCCCAGAACTTGAAGGACTTGGCGGGACGGCTGCCCGCCGGGCCCCGGGGCATGGGCACCGCGCTGAAGCTGCTGCTGGGGGCTGGCGCCGTGGCCTATGGTGTCCGGGAATCCGTGTTCACCGGTGAGCAACCTTCGCCCGCTCGCCGGACCCTTCCAGTCCCTCCCGCAAACCCCTTGCCGTGTTTTACCCGGTCCCCGCGCCCCACCGGAGTCTAGCACTTACTCTGAGCAGCGGCCTGGCCTGATCACCACCCCTCTCCCCACAGTGGAAGGCGGGCACAGAGCAATCTTCTTCAATCGGATCGGTGGAGTGCAGCAGGACACTATCCTGGCCGAGGGCCTTCACTTCAGGTAATGGCGGCCAGAGCCAACTGACCCTGACCTTTCACCCTTGACGCCGACCCAGCAGTGGCTGTAGTCGGACGTGCAACAGGATTCAGCGCTGCTCTTTTCCCTCCTCATCCCCACTCCCAGGACAGTGGGTGCTGCGCGAACCTCCAGCAGTACATAAACTGTTGCTTTCCAGACGGACAAGAGAATCTCTCCTTGTCTGTGGTCATGGGGAGGAGCAGGCCAAAAAACACGTGGTGAGGGGAAACCAGGCAAAGCTAGTGAAACTGCGGTCTCTCTTTTTTTTCTCTCCCCGCCCCCCTCTTGAGAGGGAGTAGGGAGTCTTGCTCCATCGCCCAGGCTGGAGTGCAGTGGTGCGATCTCTGCTCACTGCAACCTCCGCCCCCTGGGTTCAAGTGATTCTCCTGCCTCAGCCTCACGAGTAGGTGGGATTACAGGTGCCCACCACCACACCCGGCTAATTTTTGTATTTTAGTAGAGACGGGGTTTCACTATGTAGGTCAAGTTGGTCTCGAACTTCTGACCTCAAATGATCTGCCGGCCTCAGCCTCCTAAAATATTGGGATTGTAGGCGTGAGCCACTGCAGCCTCTTAATACGTATCCCTGTCCCCTCCAGGATCCCCTGGTTCCAGTACCCCATTATCTATGACATTCGGGCCAGACCTCGAAAAATCTCCTCCCCTACAGGCTCCAAAGGTAGGTCTGAGCACTTGGTAATCCCATGGCAGGTAGGATAATCAAAGAATTGTATCTGCTGTTACATGCACTAGTACACTCTGTTCTGGAGAAGTTCGTCTCCATTCTTGACTAGGTCACCTGTTCTTCTAGACCATACATAGAAGCTGTGCTTTGAGTTCCCCAGACCTCTTCCTCCTACACACACACACACACACACACTCACACACTGAGTTAGGTAGCTCACCAGTAATCTGTAATGTACTTCTTTGTACTATACCTAGTACGGGTCACTTATTCATTTACTTGACTGGGCACTGGGAATAAAGGATTCATAGAACACACTCTTGTCCCCAAATCCTTACAGGAAACATGATTATGGTACAGCATAAAAGCACCCACTTTAGCAGTTGCACAGAGTACAGAGGGGAAAAGAGGGGTCAGCTCTGCTAGTGACAGGGTTGCAGTTCAATTCACAGTAGGTGAAGATGCATTTCACCTGTGCTGTGTCACGTCTTCCTTGTCAGCCTGATTAACTCTCCTCCCCCTAGGGTAGTGCCATGCTGTACATCATTGCTCAGGGCATAGAGGGAGGCACATGAAGGACAAAGTGCTTGGGAAAGGGTGTTTGGCCTTGAACAGCCACTGCTGACCTCAATCTCAGACCTGCAGATGGTGAATATCTCCCTGCGAGTGCTGTCTCGACCCAATGCTCAGGAGCTTCCTAGCATGTACCAGCGCCTAGGGCTAGACTACGAGGAACGAGTGTTGCCGTCCATTGTCAACGAGGTGCTCAAGAGTGTGGTGGCCAAGTTCAATGCCTCACAGCTGATCACCCAGCGCGCCCAGGTCTGACTTCCACCACCGTCTGCATGGTGTCAGCCTTTCCCTCCTAGGTCCGGGGTATTGGGAACTAGGAAAGGCAGCTTATTAGAAAAGGATTGTCACCCTACTGCCATTTCCACCTAAAAGCTGTGCTAATTGCCCCTGTGAAATAAGGAGAGCCAGTGTTAGAACTCGATAGCACTTGGCGTTAGGAAGCATGGAGGGAAATGTCCCAGTCTTGGCTTTTCCTGCACCTCTTTCAGCAGATAGGCATATGTTACAGGTTTGCCCAACAGGAAGCTAATGCAATTCGTATTGTATTGGGGAGAGTGAAGGATTAGGGGTCACTGTGAGCTGGAGCGGTCCTGTCATCTCTCTAAGGTGTCTCATCTGTCACATGAAAAGATTGAATCAAGTCCCTTCCAACTCAGATATTGTGGTGAGGCACTGAGGAAGGGTTGATGATTTTTCTGCCATTCTCAGGAGATCTGTTGTTAAGATGGTCACACAACACAACTTTCCTTTCAGTTCTCCAGTCCCCTCAAACCACCCTGCCCTTTCCCTCCTCACCCCCCACCCAGGTATCCCTGTTGATCCGCCGGGAACTGACAGAGAGGGCCAAGGACTTCAGCCTCATCCTGGATGATGTAGCCATCACAGAGCTGAGCTTTAGCCGAGAGTACACAGCTGCTGTAGAAGCCAAACAAGTGGGTGAGTCGCAAGAGCAGTGGGGCGAGGGCTTCCGAGGTGCAGGAGGAGGAAAGACTCCATGAAGGGGCTCCTGACCCAGGACCGGGTCTACCTGACTCTCTCCCACCACAGCCCAACAGGAGGCCCAGCGGGCCCAGTTCTTGGTAGAAAAAGCAAAGCAGGAACAGCGGCAGAAGATCGTGCAGGCCGAGGGTGAGGCCGAGGCTGCCAAGATGATATCTTTCTGCTGGAGAGATCTCAGCCCAACCCATAGGGCACCTGTGTTCCCCATCCTCCTTAATGGGCAGGCTGATGAGACTAAGGCGAATGCGACTCCGTGCCCTCCGGCCCTTGGCTCCTTGGGGGTGGGGACTACAGATGAGATCTGAAATCTTGGTGGGGGTAGCCAAGGCCTGACTCCCCACTGTAAGGCCAGATCAATAGCATTGCTGGCCTCGCCTTCATTTCTGCTGCTGCCCTCAGTTCCTGGCAGCAGCCTACAGGGAGGCCCACAGGTGGGGTCCAAGGTAGGGCTGGGCCAAGTCACCTGAGCGCAACCTTGGATCTGACAGCCCAGAGGAGGACTGCAGCAAGGGAGTGTGGTAAGGATGGGGCCAGGGATTGAGGCCTGCCCTTGTGTGAACCTTAACTCTACTCACCTTGGAGAAGCTCTGAGCAAGAACCCTGGCTACATCAAACTTCGCAAGATCCGGGCAGCCCAGAATATCTCCAAGACGGTGAGCGTGTCAGCCTGGCATCTCTGATGTGGCTGTCTTGTGAGAAAGTGCTTTCAGCACACTGAAGTGAGGGAATTCGAATCTTGCTTGTTCGGGTTTCTACTCAGATTGGCTTCTCTAGCCGGGTGCAGTGGCTCATGTCTGTAATCCCAGCGCTTTGGGAAGCCAAGGCCGGCAGATCACCTGAGGTCAGGAGTGCAAGACCACTCTGGCCAACATGGTGAAACCTCATTTCTACTAAAAGTACAAAAAAAAAAGAGCCAGGCATGGTGGCATGCAGCTGTAATCCCAGTTAGCTACTCAGGAGGCTGTGGCAAGAGAATCACTTGAACCTGGGAGGCAGAGGTTATAGTGAGCTGAGATGGTGCCACTATACTCCGGCCTTGGCAACAGAGCAAGACTGTCTCAAAAAAAAAAAAAAAAAAAAAAAAAAAAATTGGCTTCTCTGCATCTTTTCCCCTCATCAAGAATGATTCCTCTGGGGCCGGGCATGGTGGCTCACGCCTGTAATCTCAGCACTTTGGGAGGCCGAGACGGGTGGATCACGAGGTCAAGAGATCGAGACCATCCTGGTCAATGTGGTGAAACCCCGTCTCTACTAAAAATACAAAAATTAGCTTGGCATGATGGCACACGCCTATAGTCCCAGCTACTCGGGAGGCTGAGGCAGGAGAATTGCTTGAGCCCAGGAGACAGAGGTTGCGGTGAGCCGAGATAGCGCCATTGCACTCCAGCCTGGGTAACAAGAGCGAAACTCCATCTCAAAAAAAAAAAAAAAAAATTATTCCTCTGGGTTCCCTAACCTTTTGTTCTTGCCTCTTTATGGTGCCAATAATCATAGCTGCTGCTCACTGCTCTGGATCCCTGAATAAGAGCAGAAACCACATCTTATTCATTGCTGTGTTCCATTAAGTGGCTACTGAATTGCAGGGGTTGGAATTGAGGTCTTTGCTCAATGTAAGCATCTGTCTTATTTCCTCCCCTGTAGATCGCCACATCACAGAATCGCATCTATCTCACTGCTGACAACCTTGTGCTGAACCTACAGGATGAAAGTTTCACTCGGTGAGAGATGTGACCACACAGTGGGGCATCACAAGAACGTGGGACTTGAGTCTGGTTGCTTGGGCTCTGGAGCCTGCTACAGCTGTTCATATGGCTCAGAGAGACACTGAACCAAAATTAGAAAAGGGAGTGGTTGGCAGTTTTTATCCTGCATCTCATAGGATTGATTTTATGAGATCAATAGGATTATTCACATAAAAAGCACTTTAATTGTAAAGTCTTTATCTAACCGCGAAGTGATGAAAGATGGTACTCAGTTTCCTTACTCAGGAGCCCTAGAACTGCTCAGGTGCATGGAAGGATGCTAGGGAAGGAGACCAGAGATAGCAGTGGCCATGAGAAACGCCGCCTCCTCTCATGGGCCTGAGATTCCTGGCTGCCGGCCCTGTTCCTCTGTTGTCCTGGGAGCAAAGGAGGGTTCAAAGCTGAGTGGGGCCTGAAGCTGTCAGTTAACATGTGCATTTCTCTTCTCTGTTTCCTGTTCATCTGGTGATCTGGCACCACAGAGGAAGGTAAGTTGTTGCTGCATCCTTGTTCCTGTGGGGTCCTGCAGGCCACCTTCTCCCAATACCTGCCTTCTACCCCACTGCCTTTTCCTACCTCCCCACAGACAAACCCTCAATGGGGCAGGAGGGTCGTTGAGGGAATGGCCTAGTGTCTTGCCTGTCACATTTATGTCCCCTAATAATGTCATCATCTGTCTTTCCTACAGTGACAGCCTCATCAAGGGTAAGAAGTGAGCCTAGTCACCGAGAACTCCATCCCCAGAGGAAGTGGATCTGCTTCTCCTGTTTTTGAGGAGCCAGCCTGGGGTCCAGCACAGCCCTACCCCCACCCCAGTATCATGCGATGGTCCCCTGTACCCGTTCCCCGAACCCCTCTTGGATTAAGGAAGACTGAAGACCAGCCCCTTTTCTGGGGAATTACTTTCCTCCTCCCTGTGTCGGCCGGGGATGTTGGGACAGTGTGTGATTTCTCAGTGATTTCCTACAGTGTTGTTCCCTCCCTCAAGGCTGGGAGGAGATAACCACCAACCCAGGAATTCTCAATAAATTTTTATTACCTAAGCTGAAGTCAGTGCTTCACATGGTCATGAGCAGCACGCATGCGCAGTCACATAGGCACTCCTGGGGCCGTCTTTGTGTCTGCCAGCAGAGGGCGCAAAAGACTCTGACTGGGGCAGCTAAGGGGAAGCAGGGCCTGGGCTCCAAAACGACCTAAGCTGGAAAGGCTGGCCCTGGGGTCTAGAGGCCCAGCTGCACTCTTCACCCCACCCTCCATTTCTCCCACATCACCCTTTTTTTTTAGAGCTGGAGCAGCTGTGGCTTTGCTGAGCCAGATTAAAAATCTGATGACCCCAACAGGAGCTGCTTTCTTGGTAGCAGAGTTCCATGTGGTTCTGGGGAGCCTGCCTGTGCCTGTGGAGGGGCTTCTGTGCCTAGAAGCCCAGTGGATCCCATGGCCTGATGTGGGCCACCAGATTCCATTTCTCAGTCACCAGGCGTGAGGAGCTACTCACTAGCAGGGCTCTCTGTGAAGGTGGGCTTGTCACTCCCTCAGCTCTGGGGCCAACAGAACAGGTGCCTGTTGAGTCCACAGATAAGCTGACACTTCTTCCCAAGACAGCCCTTCCTGAATCTCAAGCAACAGAGAAACCAAGTCACCGTTTATACCTGAATCTCCCACTACGGCCCATTTCCCATCCCTACAGGGAGACAAGGAAAGTTTAGAACTCTAAGGCGAAACCTGGGGATAAAGTATGTGCAGGAACTACCAAATGCAGATAGGGCAGCAGTGGATCTGAACAGAGGGACTGAGTTAATCTGCTTCGATTTTTAGGATGTTTTTCTCTGCTTAGGGTTGAGTATCATGAAAGACGAAGCAGATACCGCAGCCCCAATCCCGAGTTACCGTGCAGCTAAGATGAGATCAACAGTGGGACAAAAGACAGGTCAAGTGACCTGGATCAATCTTCCTCATGTTCCTAGTCACACTTTATTTATTTCATGTTTCCAAGGGGAAGACAATGGAGGTGCCTGGGGAACCAGTGTTTCCAAATCTTGCTGCAGCTGTAGAGGCAGCCATTTTGTCTCCTTCCCATTGTTCCCCTTTGCCTAGTGATCCGTCCCCCATCCGGAGGGGTAAAGATCAGAGGTCGTTGGTCAGTAGGCCTCCATGGTCTTCAGGGCTCCCTGAAAGTTACAGCCGAAAGAACCGACCCGGGGGCCATCTTTACCAGACAGTGTTAGGAGCTTCACAATTAGACCATCCAACACTGTACTGGAAGATGGACCCAGGGCGGGCCAATGGAGAGCTACGGCGAGAACGCTCCAGCTGCTACAGGGACCCTGGCCACAGGCCAGGTGAGGTCTCCTGACGGGGCGAGCCGATCCCAAGCTCAAGGTCGACTGTGGGTTCTGGATCCACTAGGTGACAAACCGCACTGGGTGGGAGGAGGGGCCGGGGCCCATTGTGTCCCTGAGTGGCAGCCAGCCAACGAGAGCCACCCCTGGTGCCGCACTCTCAGCTCAAGACTAGGGCTTCTGAGGGGCGTGGGAAGTGGGGAGAGGGCTGCAGCCAGCTAAGTCTTGGGGACCTGACTCCATGGATGTCGCTGACACAGGGGCAGGGGCCTCCATCATTACCCGGCAGTATTAGAGACTCCCAACCGCACCCAAACACTGCTGGGTAAGACGAGGGCCCCCACCCAGCCTGCCCACCTTGGGTCAGGAAGCTTCAGGCCCAGGTGCCCTGCGGAGAAGCTGCAGATCCCTGACTCCCATCCCCCCACCACCACCCGAGTCCCTGGGGACACTTCCGGGTGAGCCTGCTGCCTGCCACCAGCCCCACCCTGGGTCGCTCGTCGCTAGGCCCAGGCTGCGGCCCAAGCAGGCCTTCTGCAGCCCCTCAACCATCGGCACTCCCCGCCCCGAGCCACCTTCCTCCACCTCCGAAGCCTGCCCCTGCCCGCAACACACACCGACTCACCCACCCTCATCCACCCTCTGCAGTCCCTAGCTCAGCCCAGGACCCCTCCCCTGGTGGCCTTTACCTGTCACCGGGCCCGCCTGCCCCCAGAGAGTGGGTGCCAGGGAGACGAAGGGGCTTTGAAGCCCCAGATTCAACGGCCTAGAGCCCGCCCCGGCCTCCACTCTTCCTCCTTCCTTCTCCGCCTGCCCGGCAGCGCAGGCTCCTTACCTGGGCCCCGCCCGCCGCCCTGCGCACAGGTGTGTCCTCCTGCCATAGGCTGCCCCCCCACCGCCTTAACCCCTTCCCTCCCAGCATCAGTCACAGGCACCTCCTCTAAGGCCTCGCCATCCCGATAGGCCTCCCACCCTCTCCCAGAGCCTCTTTTTTCCTACCTGCCTATTCTCACCCCTGTCTCCAGAGGAACAAAAGGAGGGGCTGTCCTCAGGTCCCCTCCCCACAGCAGCTGCTGCCTTCAGGCCTAGCCCCCTCCTCTGCGACCTCAGACCCTGCCCACAGTGGAGCTGGAAGGCCGGAGAGATCCCTGGGGTCAGCGAGGGGTCAGCGAGGGGTCAGCCGGGCAGGAGTTGGCCTGTGCTGCCCCAATGCCCAGCCTGTGCTAGGATCCCCTGAGGGACAGGGGAGGGAGGAGGCCCTGCCAGGCCTGTGAAGGGCAGGTGGGTCCCAGCAGGGTGCCCCTAGTGTGGAGGTACCCACCGCTATCCAGAAACCCCAGCCGTCCAGGAGCCTCAGCCCTGCCCCTCAGTGGAGGCCTGCAGAGGGAAAGATCTCGCTCCTCTCCCGACCAAACTGCTCCCTGACCCACCTCACGGCACAGCCAAACTGGAGTCCAAGTCCCACCCCAAGGGCAGGTAGCCCAAGGGCGGTTAGAGGAGGTGGGACTTGCCTTTGTGCGCCGGGTTGGAAAGGGCGTTGCTGGGAGAGGGGCCCTGAGCCCGACAGGTGATTGCCCCACCCACGCCCCTGAGGGCCACAGCCCCAGGGAGCTATTGTGTTGCTGGGTCCCTAGCTCTTCTCTCTCCTGGTCTTTGTTTGCTTCCTTCTTAATACTGGCCTGCAATTATTTGATGCAGGTGATGGGTTTGTCAGTCTGTCTCCCTGACCAGCCCCCTAAGTTCCAGGAGGCCAGGTGACTGTGAATGGCGGTGGTGCCAGGGGCTCTCTAAGAAGGATTTGCTGAATAATGCTTGCCCAGCCTCTGGGCTTCCGGGCCTGTGCGGCCTCAGCCTTTCCAAGAGTGGATGCCAGCCCTTCCTGAGGGATGACCTGCACCGGCTCCACTCCCCAGGAGACGAGTTACAAATGAAGAAGAAACCCCACTCCCGACACAACACGGGGGGAGGAAGAGGGGACCAAAAACAAAGCAATCTTCAAGTCTGCCAGCTCTTCAAACTCTGCCCCGGAGGACACGGGCAGCCGCAGCCTGGGTGAGGGGAGAAGCTGGGTGCTCCCGGGTGCACTAAGAGCCAGTCCCCAGTCCCCGTTCCTGCCTGAGGGGATGAGTGGGGCTGGCCTCGGGTTAACTACTCTTCTTAGTTCGGATCTGGAAGTCAGCATCAGGGGAGTGTGACTCTAACTGCCCCAAGGGCGGCAGCTGCAACTCCAGGGTAAGGAGTCTGGGCTCTGGGCTCAGAAGGCCTGGGTTCAAATCCCAGCTCCACTGCTCCATAGTCCTGTGACCTTGGGCAAGTGACCAAGTTACTTAGTCTCTCTGTGCCTCAGTTTCCTGCACTGTAAAATGAGAATAACAAAAGTGCCTAGACTGATGTAACATGTGTAGCCTCTCAGTGCCTGGGCACAGGGCAAGCGTGTGGTGAGTCACTGTGCCCGTCTTATCACCAGCCGTCATCGTGTGCTTTTCACAACCGCCCTGTTATGATCGCTCTCCATTTTAAAGGAGGAGACTGGGGAGCTTCGCCCACAGTCACCCTCCCACGTGTGAGGCGGAGTCCAGACCCACAGCGGTCTGACGGGAGGCGGAGCCCACTCACTGGGCAAGCAAAGTGCTCAGTTAGAGGCGACACACAGTAATCCCAGGCCTTTATTTACAAGAGGAGAAGGGCTGGCCCTGACTGGGGCCTGGCTGGGCTATATACAGGATCAGGGAGAGGTATGAGGGATGGAGCCATTTAAATTACAATAGAATGGGGCACTCCTAGGTTCAGGTTGTGGGTCTGTCCACTGTGGGAGGCTTCCGCAGGGTCTGGGCTGAGGCTGCCAAGAGAAGGAGTTAGGGAGTGAGAGGGTGGCTGGAACCTGGAGGGCGAACAAGGAGGTCTGGGGCAGCTGGGAAGGGCAGAGTGAGGCTGCAACCACCCCATCCACCCAGGGAAGGCAGTGGAGCCAAGGACACAGGGCAGGACAGGGAGGACAGCCAGGCAGAAGAGTTGTAGCACCGCCACCTGAGCACAGCGCCCGCTCACTTCCTCTTGAGGGAACCCTTGCTCTTCTCCTTGTCTGCTGACCGCTGCTTCTTCACTTTCTCCTCCCGCTTGTTCTTACTGTGCAGGTTCTCATACACATCCTCCTTGTGTCTGCAGCAGGGTGCAGGGGGCAAACACAGGCCGGAGGCACAGGTCAGGAGACAGCACGGGGGACCCAGCAGTGGCAACCCTCTCTGGCTGCCCCATCTCACAGGTGGCCCAGCCACTGTCCCTGCACTAAACTCCAAGTTCTTTGAGGTTAGAGGCAACATCTCATACACAAGTGCACTGCTGCTACCTAGCACAGGCCCACACGTGGCGGCGGTGGGGGGGCACTCTGGAAATGCTTATTAACAGAAGGCGTGAGAACCAAGCTTGAACTTGAAGCAACACTTGTCCTCTCCAGAAATCAAGGATCGGGCTGGTCAGGACAAAGGGGTGGATGCCGGGAGGTGGCAGTCAGGGCCACTCACTTGGATGAGGTGCGGGAGGCCTTGGCATGGGCGTTCTTCATGGCTGGGGGGTAGGTGATGTTCCCATACTCCGACTCCTGGCCCTTCTGCGACTGTGGGCAGAGGGATAGCAGGAGGGTGGTGGTCCCAGCAGGGCCAGGTGGCACCCATCCCCCGCTGCAGCCCCCTAGGCCCTGCTCTGCACGCACCTGCAGGACCTCCAGCTTCTTCTTGGTGGTTTCAATGTACTGGGCAATGGCCACGTAGATGAACTTGTACTGCGCCTCCGTCTGCACCATGCCCGAGCGCTGCGCCCGCACCATCTGGATAGTCTTCTGGATGTCAATGTCACAGTCCAGGCCTGGGTGGGGGCAGTCAAACCTCAGGCCTAGGCACAGGTAGACACCAAGGGGTTGCTCACCCCGCCCCCAAGCCCCCAGGTGCCCCTCACCCTTGGTGGAGATGTTCTCCATGAGCATGTCGATGACAATGATGGTACCTGTGCGGCCAATGCCCGCGCTGAGGAGAGACGGGGATGCCGTCAGAGGCCAGTCAAGCCCTTCCTGGGAAGGGGGGTTGACCAGTGCTCAGCTCCACCCCCAGGCACTGCAGGAGCAGCCTGAGCCTCCAGTAATAGAAGGGAATGTACCCAGCATCATTGGGCAAGTGACAATGACAATTTGCCCGACTCTGCATGGGAGCACTCCACTTCTGGCTCTGTGGTGCTGATGCCAGCTTCCCAGATGCCACCATCCTTCCCTACTCCACTCCCTGCACCGAATCCTCACTCCTGGAGAGCAGCTGTCCCCACCCCGAAAGACATGGGACCCCCAAATCCCACTACTGTCCTGCTGGTTCCTAGGCACCCTGAACCCTTCCCACCTCTCCAAGAGTTAGGGAGCTCCAGCTGGGTGCAGTGGCTCACACCTGTAATCCCAGCACTTTGGGAGGCTGAGGCAGATAGATCAAGAGGTCAGGAGTTCAAATACCAGCCTGACCAACATGGTGAAACCCCCGTCTCTCCTGAAAATACAAAACTTAGCTGGGCGTAGTGGCGTGCACCTGTAATCCCAGCTACTCAGGAGGCTGAGGCAGGAGAATCACTTGAACCTGGGAGGCAGAGGTTGCAGTGAGCTGAGATCACGCCACTGCACTCCAGCCTGGGCAACAAGAGTGAGACTGTCTCAAAAAAAAAAAAAATTCATGGAGCTTCTCTCTGCAGAGGTTTATTTCCCTTTTTCTTCAAACCCTGACAGCTGGGAAAGGACAGCCCAGAGACAACAGGGTTCAGGGGTGCCGGGTCAGGGACTCGGGGGAGCAGTGCAATAGGAAGTTTCTCTCCTTCCCACCCCTGGGCAAGCAGACCCTAGGGAGACCCCAGGCCCACCCTCAGCTGGGCCCATCAGGCTGGTGCCCTGAGTCGCACTGTCTAATTTCAAACACAGATTGTCAAAAATAACCCCCCTTCACCCACTTCCTTCCTGTAACGTCTAAATAAAGGCCATGGGGCTTTCAAGAAGTGTGTGACTATACGTGCGGTGGGTGAGCAGGAGGGTGGCTCTCAGGGATAGACCTGTCCCTGAGAGAGCAGAGGACAGAGCTGCGGCCCCAAGACAGCCCATCGGGGCACCTCTAGATTCAGCCAACTGGCCCTGTCCCATGGACAAACAGCTGCTGGGGGGAAGAGGAGGAGGCCAGAGGCCATCAAAGACCTGGGGTCCACAGAGGGAGTGTGAAGGGACCGGGCAAGGCAGGTCCCTGTTTCCCCCATTCTCTGTCTGGCATGAGTACTAAACCAGTAACTGCCAGTGTTTGAGGGCTGATGGAATTCCAGCCACAGCAATAGGGTCTCACGACAACCCTGAGATCCTGGTTTTACAGATGAGGAAGCTGAGGGTCAGAAAAGTTAAGCAATTTGTCCAAGATCACACAGCTGGTGAGCAGAGGGGCCCTCCACCCGCTGCCTCTCTTCCATTTAGGCCAGGCCGGCATGGTGGGCTCTTCAGTGGGACCCCTGCTCCTCGCAGCCCCACCTCTGCACCCTACAGGGGTCTCCTGATCACAAACACGAGGGTAGATAGAGGAGCTATGTGTACCCCCCAGAAAGGCATCGCCCATCCCCATACAACCCTGGGGGCCAGGATGGGGAACTGCCAGGGAAAGGGGGAGAGACGGCGGAGTCAGGAAGAAGCCTAAACCCTGGGGCTACAGATGGAAAAAGAGGAGGAATGGGGAGCACAGGCACGATGGATATTCCTGGGAGGCCAGAAGAAACCAGCAGAGTGGGACCTCGAGAGACAGCAGGGCAGCCGGGACTCAGGCCTACTGTGGGTGCCAGCCCGGCCTCGCCCTGACTAGCTGGGGCCTGGCCAGCAGCTGAGTCCTGGGTTCCTCCTCTGTATTTGGGTTGGGCGAGATGGTACATCTGGGGAAGGCTCTGAGGAAGACACCCACAGGCAGGGGGCCAAAGTGGGACCAGGTCCAGCCATGTTCCACCCCAGGCTCTGGAGCCATGAGGGAACCCAGAAGAAGCCGGGGGTGAGCGGAAGGCAATAGACGTGTGCACTAACATGTATGTTGCTTATAACAGCTCATGGCGCTTAGCAATATTTACTCCTCAGCAGTCACTGCTACCATGAGGACTCTCATTCTCACCTGCAGTGCACGATGATGGGGCCTGCGCGAGGCAGACTTTCCTGCCGCTGGTTGATCTGGTCCAGGAAGCTGAGGACGCCCCCGGGCTCACTGGGGACCCCATGGTCAGGCCAGCTCAGGTACTGGTAGTGCCAGATCTCCCGAACCAGGTCCCCCTGACCAAGGACATAGGGTCAATTCCCCCTGCTCCCTCGGAACACCCCACCTGCCTCACCCCACCCAACCACTCAACCAGACAGGAGAACAGGTCCAGTGGGGGACTCCCACAGCAGGGCAGGGAGTGGGGGATGCTCACATTGTCCAGTGGGGAGACCTGCAAGCTGCGGAGTTTGTATTCGGGCGTGTCGTGCTCCCTGCAGTTGGTCACAGAGTAGGGCCCATAAACGCGCTGAGTGCCCACCTCGGGCCAGTATGGGACACATTTGTTCTGGAAAGAGACCGTTGGGTGGGGATGACCGTGACCCATCCCAGGCCCTGCTCTAGTGCCTGGCACCAGCCCAAACGTTCGTCAGATGGACAGATGAGCTGGCTGAGAGGCAGGAGACCTGTGCTCTCCTCTCGGAGCAGCCACCAACAGGTGATGAGGCCTGGCCAGCACTTTACCGGGACATCCATTTGACATTCAACAAACGTCACCGGGGCAGGCGTGGTTCCTGAAGCTGTGCAAACCAGGCTGCAGTCACAGACACATATAAGGCGCCCTCTGTGCCCTGTGCCTTGAGCAGCTCAGAGACAGGTGACCGGGTGAGACGCACTGAGGAGCGTGGCTGTGAAAGAGGCTAATTCTCCCTCTTGGCCATGGAGGAAATGAGACATGGATTCCCAGAGGGGGCAGGTAGCACTCGGGCTGTGTCTTCAGAACAAGGCACCTGCCCGGCAGAGACAGTGTGGAGAGAGTCATTTCCCAGCAGAAAAGGAGCTTGTGCAGAGAAAGGCTGGGAACCCGAAAGAGCCGGGGCTGCTGGGGCGGTGAGCCTTAAAGGGAATCGTGGGGGTCAGAGGGAAGCCAGCAGGCCTTCAACACCAGGCCTTACAGTGCGACTTTATCCAAAGGTGACCAGGAGCCATGGAAGGGATTTCAGAGAGGAAGGAACTTGACTCAGTTTGTGTCACCAATGGGATCACTTCAACGGCAGCGCAGAGGGTGCTGTGCAGAGGATCCCGCAGGGTAAGGGGCAAGGATGACAGGAGGGGCCTGGATGCAGACAGGTGAGGAAGGGGCAGGAGGAAGGAGGACAGCCTAAAACCTGGGTCTGGAGCTCAGGAGAACCCAGGGATAGATGCAGGGATCCAGGGGTCGCACTGTGCAGTCGAGACTTTGTCACTACGCCTCGGTGTCCCAGAAAGGGCTGGACCCTCAGCCCCAAGACCCCTTTGCGCCCTGGTATCTGACAGTTCCTTGACTTAATGGTGTGACCACATGCACTGGGGAGGGATGTGGGGGCGGGGCGGGGTGCCCTACCCGGCCTTTCTCCACCTCTCGGGTGGTCATGACGATGACGCGGGTGTTCTCCTGCCACACCATCTGCCAGAAGTCATTGACCGTGGCCTCCAGACAGCCCTGGCTGGCGATATAGGTCTTAGTGTTCTCATCAGGTCCTAGCAGCTGGTTCTGGACGCAAGCGTGAAGAGATGCACCCCAAGAGAGTGAGCTCCTTGGCCCAGCCCGGCACGAGCCCTGAATCCCTGCTGCCTCCATCCATCCAGGAAGCCAGCTCCGGCTTTGCCCAGGTGTCTCTGCATTTGGGGTCCTCACAAGACAGGGAATTCCCAGGGCCCGGCCTCTCCTCCCACGTGACCCACACCACTGACCTTGATGTAGTTTGCATTGATGTAGTCAGACCCAGGGATGCTACTGTCACGTCCCTGCAGGATCACTCGGCTGTGGTCAACTGGGAGTGGGTGGAGAGGAGGTGAGACGGCCTGGGTCAGCCAGGGACTCCCCACGCCTGGGTCAGACCACCCTCCTGAGCTAACAGGCCGTTCTGGTCTCAGAGGCTTGTTGGGGAGGCCTGTGGGGGACTGCGGACAGCAGGGCTGGGGGATCATCTGTATGGAGGGAGGGAGGGGGTTCGTGAGAAGGAGGTTGGGAGCAGGGGAACCTGCCTGCTGGTGGCGGGAGGCCCCTCTGCGAGGAGTAGAGGCCTTTTGAGAAGGGGGAGGCTCTGTTGGGAGGTGTGGGGAAAAGGGCTCCCCTAGAGTGGAGGGTGGAGACCTGTGAGATGAGGGGAGGCAGCTGGGGCAGGGGCGGTCTCCTGGGTGAAGGGGGCAGCCTGGGTGCTCACAGGGAAGAATGTTCTTGTAGCGATTCTTGCCCTTGTTCTCTGGCCGCTGCCCTTCCAGGCGCTGGTGCAAGTTCTTCACCTCCTGCTTCTGCAGACTCTGAAATATGGGCGGGGAAATGAGCATCAGCTTCCGGAGATGGCATCCATCAGGGGAGCTCACGTGAGGTGGGTCAGGAGCAGAGGTGAACTAGGAGGGGAAAGTATCCGCTTGGGGCCCCATGCCTCCTGTCACGGCCTCAACTGCCCCAGTCCTGCGGGTCCCCACCGAGCACCTCAAACTCCTCCCAGAAGCCAGCCTTGGCTGTGTCCTCGGACTCCTGCTTCTTGTTCAGTTCCAAGACTCGGTTCTCAATGTCGGCCGCATTCACCCTCGTGGCGTAGTACGGCTGGGGTGGGGGATGGAGAGAAGTCAGCAACTCAGAGATCCAAGAAGCTCATGTCTAGGGGTGGCTCAGGGGAAGGGAGGAAGCAGCTGGGCCCACCCCTCACCTGCCGCAGGTAGACGAAGGCGCCTGAGGCCTCCTCAATCCCCGTCTTCTTGAAATGCTCCACCAGGTCCGTGAGGCTATCAAAGGTCTCTGAACCACCCACCGTGTAGCGTCCACCCTGGGGGGTGCCAAATAAGGCCACTCACAGGGCCCAAGTCTCCCTCCCTGGGCCCCAGCCTTGAATTCAAGCCCAGGCAGATCCTCCCCACCACCCACACTGTGGGCACAAACAGCAGCCTCCACAGAGGCTCCCACACCGCCTGGCTGCCTTACCTCACACATGACCTTGATGTGGGTGACCCTGAGTGGGGAGCCTGGGCCAGCCTTGGGCTGGTCACTGAGCACGGACAGCACAAAGTCTCCAGGCTGGCTGAGACTCTCACGCACAAGAAACGTCCAAGGCTCGCCCTTGGCCTGAAGCAGTGTCTCTGCCTGTCCTCCAGACATGTGGCCATGGTACCACCTAGAGAAGGCAGTGGCAGGGCAGGTGAGACCCGGGCCACAGGGGAAGGTGCTGAGCAGAGACATTCACAGAGGAGGCAGGAAATCCAGCACCTACTGGGAGCAAGGCACTGTCCTAGATGCTTCCAAATCCACCACCATATTTAGGTCCATTACTCTCTCCCAAACAAGCTGAGAGGTTTGGGAGATGATATTATCACCCTTTTATAAAGGAGGAAACTCATGCTGAGCTGTTGCGCACTGGCCTAGGGCCCTTGACTGACTCCAGAGCTCTGTTGCCCAGGCCAGAATGCAGTGGTACAGTCACAGCTCCCTGCAGCCCTGACCTCCCAGGCTTAAGCTGTCCTCGCCTCCAGAGTTCTAACCAGGCTTTGAACCCAGAGCCCACCTCTGAAAGGCAGAAAGGCTGTCAATACTTTAAATGTTTTGTCAATACAAAAATATTTAAAGGAGAGAAACTAAGGAAGAGTCTCCGTGATGCTTAGGGCTGTGCCAGGCAGAGACCTGAGACAAAGAAACGCAGATCGAGGCCACATCTCAGGCGGGAGACGGACAGAGAGACCCAAGTCACAAGGAAGGCGGATGGGGTGCACGCCGCCAGGGAGGCAGGGAAAAACGACCCCACTGGGGAAAAAGTGGTGTGGGGGCTCTGGGGGTGCCCTGGATGATGTCACTGAAGGGGAGCCCAGGGTTCAAAGGGGTTCAAAGGGATGCAAAGGGGCTGTCGGGGCAGAAAGCAGAACTGAGCCCTTTCCCTGAAGCGCACCCCTTTCCCAGGAGGAAACTGTAGCCCCACAATGCCCAGCCCCACAGGAAACCACGTGATGGAAAAAACACAAAACTCCTTCTGGGGAGAGAGTGAGAAGTGAGGTTGTGAGGTTTCCTCAGCCCAGGGGTGGCGGAGGGGCAAATTTTCCAACCGCAGGGATCGGGGGAAGGAGGGGAGGACCAGTCTGTCCCAACCCATCTTATCCCTGCCCAGAGGTGACTCCAGCCAACAGACACCCCCCCACCCCCCGCAGAACCTCCAGATCTTACTGGGCTGCTTCAGCCCACCACTTGGGGACAGGCTAGGACCCCAGGCAGCGGGTAGGAGGCTGAGCCCCTTTCCTTAGGCCCCAGGATGAGGAAGTCTCCATGCAAATGTCAGGCTGACCACAGGAAGCACAGAGCCACCGAGGGATAGATGCAAATTCCCACAGAGAAGGAGGCAGCACAGACACAGCAGGGGACAAGGCAGGGACAAGGCAGAACCTCAGAGAAAGAACCTCTCACACTCCAGGCTCAGGGGTGACACTGGCTCCTGGGATGGGTTACCTGAAAAGGCCTCCAGTATGGCTTCCCTGGTCTTAACCTCTTAACTTCCCACCCCAGCACTGCCCTCCCTTCCTTGTCTCTCTTCTCTCTTCTCTTTGAAAGCGGGTCTCAGCCTCCTCTGCAGGGGCCTCCTGGGGCCCTGCTCCTCTCGTCCCCTCTAGGCACTGGTCAGCCCATCCTCTTCCTCCTGGCCTGAGGCAAGGAGAAAGGACATGAGCTTCAGAGGCCCCCCAAGTGTCACGGTGGGGAAGAGGAAGGGCAGGGGGCAGACACGGAGCCAGCCACATGAGGCTCATGGAGAGGAAGAAGGCCGTGAAGGAAGCTGACCAGGGAAAGAGGTCTCCCAGGCAGGCCACAGAGCAATTCTGCAACCTCATTCAGCTCTAAGATTCAGTCAGTGACTTCACCAAAAATACTGATGGCAGTTTGGAGGCCAGAACCCCAGAAAGGCTGCAAGCTGGCGCTTTAACAACCCATCCTCCAGCACAGGGCAAGGGCAGGTGGGCTTGGCCCCAGGGGTCCATGTGAAAACCCCTTGTGTTATTCCACTGCCCTTTACTCTAAGAGGATCTGGCACTGAAAGGAGCCAGGGTGTCCTGAGGAGATTTCAGAGCCCCCTGGCCCCTGCCCATGCCTTTGGGAGCCCACAGGGACAGTGGCCAGCCCAGCTCTGGGGACCACACCTTTGAGCAGAGGGGACAGGAAGGAAATGCCTGGAGTGTTTGTGCTCAGGACAGTGTGAGCCCCTTTCCACATGTGAACACTCCACGGCTGCTGGGTGGCTGAGATAAGGCGTCAAGTGTCCTGGCAAGCGTTCGTCCCCATCCTCATTCCTAGTGTCAACTCCTAACGCGTGCTGGCCATGGGTGAGGGGAAGACGGAGGAGGGCACTCTCACTTCCACAGGAGGAAGAACTTTCTAACAACAGAGCTGGCCCACATGACATGCCAGCCGCCAGCGGTAGCCTCCCTGTCTCTAGTGGGACCTGGGTTGCAGTGGCCAGGGCCCCTGGAGTAGGGCAAGGCAGCCTTCTCTGGCTTCCTCGGGGTTAGGTGGAAAGGGTGGTAGGTTAAGCTCTGAGACACCAGGCTGCAGGAGGAAGGACGCTGAGAGCCCCAGCTGGTGCAGGAAGGGAAGGGGAGGGAGGGCAGGCAGTGCTGGGTGCCAGGCTCCCTGCCTCCCGGGCCATTGGGGTTGGGAGCCGGCTTGCCCCAGCTTGGGAGAGGCAGGGTGCGGAACCCTCACCTCTCACTAGTGGGGTCGGAGCAGTTCAGCGGGTACTTGAGGTGGATGATGGTGCCGTCACGATCCTGCAGGACGCCCTGCTGCTGAGTGTAGTACTCCACCAGCTCCGTCAGCGTGGCGAACTTCTCCCCTCCATACAGGTCGTAGAAATCCCCTGAGTTCTGGATCCGAATATGGGTCACCTGATCCCCCACCCTGCAGGGCACCAGGTGGTGAGGCCAGTAGGTGCAGGAGTAGAGGCAGGAGGGCAGGGATCGGCAGAGGTCCTGGGTGGGGGCACAGACAGGGATGGGGAGCACGGGGGTTGGGGGATGAGGACACAGACCAGGCGTGGGGGCTGGGGAGTTGGCATTGCCGCGGAGAACCAGGAATGTGTGGTTCAGGGCCTGGACGGCACGAGAGCGGCCAAATGCTAGGGAGGGCCACCAACCTGACAGAGAGCGAGAAGTCACCCTGGTTCTTGCGACTGGGCCGAGCCAGGAAGCTGCCATGGACACCTCGGCCCTTGAGCAGGGTCTCTGCATCCAGCCCACTGAGGTCTCGGTGAAACCACCTGAGTGGCCCAAGCAGGGCAGTGAGGAGGGGTCCTGTGGGCACTGGGCACCCTTGCCTCCTGCCTACTGAGGATGGCAGGCTCTTACCTCACCATCCTGGGGGCTTCCGGAGAGGGAGGGGGCGCAGGGAATGAGGCGACGCAGCTAGTCTGGGCAGGCAGAGAACTCGTGGACTAAGCCTCAAACGTGGCTCCCAGTGCCAAGCTGCCTCACCAGCCCCGGTGGTCCCAGTTCTGGAGCTGCCACTCCACTGGCCTAGGGCAGCCGGCAGGGCGGGGACAGGAAGAGGCGCGGCCGACCCCTTGGGGGAACTCACTTGTACTTCTCATTTTAGAGTAGAGCAAGGGAAGAGAAGCAGAGTATGGTGGCACTGGGGGTGGGGACGGGGCCCACTTCCCACATGTCTGCAATCAAAGGCTCAGGAGCATGGCCATGCACGTATGTGACACCACATGCAGTAAGGACACATATGTGCCTTGCACACTAAAAGCCCAGCTCATACTTCACGTATGTGAACCTACACGGTCACACGGCACCTCTTCCTCCTCCACCTGCTGCTTTTACACAGTCCTCCCTGGCCCACACTAATAACAATGATGGCAGTGACAGCTGTCATCGAGTGAGTCCTGCTGGATGCCAGGCGCTGTGCTATAATGGTGCTCATATGCCTCGTCTGAATAGTTTCTCACCACAGCCCTATGAAACAGGGGGTCTGTTTATCCTCATTTGACAGACAAGAAACCTGAGGCCCAGGGAGTTCAAGGCATTGCCCAAGTCCATCAGTGAGTCAGCTGCAGCGCCAGGATTCAAACCCAGACAGTCTGGTTCCAAAGCCGATGCTTTTAACTCCTATACACCAGTCCTTAGGGCTTCAAAGAACAGAGATTAAGAGCCTCCTTGTCCAAAGGGGCTGCCATGAGAGCAGGAGATTGATAGTTAAGACCTTGTCAACACTTGCAAGAGAGAAGGGTGCCCTCCTCTAAGCAACATAAGCGGTTTGTCCATGCCACTGTGGCAGAGGCATGGGCAAAATGACCCTGAGCAGCCTTGTCAAACTTGGGTCCTTTCTAAATCTTGTCCCTAGGCCTCTGCCCTGCCCCGGGAGTCTGACCAGGGGGCCTGTCTCCTAGGGGCTGGGGACTGGGGGCTGGGTGCCAAGGTCCTCGCCATGGCTGATTTTCTCAGGGCTGGCTGACCTGAGAGGCCCTAAACACTAAGGCATATGATGCTCCCTGCCTGTAATTCCAAATAAAACTTTCCTTCTTTTTTCTTTCTTTCTTTCTTTTCCTTTCTTTCTTCTTTCTCTTTCCTTCCTTCCTTCCTTCTCTTTCTTTCTTTCTCTTTCTTTTTCTTTCTCTTTCTTTTTCTTTCTTCTCTCTCTCTTTCTTTCTTTCAAGTCTCACTCTGTCACCAGGCTGGAGTGCAGTGGTACGATCTAAGCTCACTGCAACCTCCATCTCCTGAGTTCAAGCTATTCTCCTGCCTCAGCCTCCTGAGTAGCTGGGACTACAGGCACGCACCACCACGCCCAGCTAATTTTTGTATTGTTAGTAGAGATGGGGTTTCACCATGTTGGCCAGGATGATCTCAAACTCCTGATCTCGTGATCTGACTGCCTCGGCCTCCCAAAGTGCTGGGATTACAGGCATGAGCCACCACGCCTGGCCATCTTTTTCAATGTTATATGATGGGCATGCATTACCTTTATAAAAATAAATATGCTAACTGGGAGCAATTTCTGAGGAAATTTTAGGGTGCAGGGAGGGCTCTTTGTCTCCACCTGGATGCTTTTGCATGGCTGTGTATAAACATGAAGTCAGTCGGGTTGTATGCTTAATATTTATGAACATTATGCATATTATGCTTCAGTTAAAAGAAGAAAAAATAGCCAGGCACGGTGGCTCAACCTGTAATCCCAGCACTTTGGGAGCCTGAGGTGGGCAGATCACATGAGGTCAGGAGTTCAAGACCAGCCTGGCCAACATGGTGAAACCCCATCTCTACTAAAAATGCAAAAATTAGCCGGGCATGGTGGAGAGCGTCTGTTATCCCAGTTACTCAAGAGGCTGAGGTAGGAGAATCGCTTGTACCCAGGAGGCAGAGGTTGCAGTGAGCCGAGATCACGCCACTGCACTCCAGCCTGGGCGACAGAGTTAGACTCTGTCTAAAAAAATTAATAAACAAAATTTTAGGTCCCAACAAAAGTCTGATTTTCCCATAACTACTTCATTTTTAGAAACATAAAACATGCAATTTTTTCCCCAATAAGAGGCATTGCCACTTTTTCTTCTTCTTCTTTTTTTTTTTTTTTTTTTTGGTGGTTGTTCTGTTAGTTTCTGGTTTTCTTCTCTCACTGCTGCCCTGGGGAATCTGCCTGGTGGGTTTATTACCTGGTCCTGCTTTGACTACCCCTGGAGACCTAGAACTCCACTGAACCCCCACCCCATGCCAAGCAGCAGGAAGAGCACATGCAAAGCCGTCTACAGCGGGGGCACCCGCTGGTGCTCTCGCTCATCTCTGAGTGTTCAGAGTCCAGCATGATGCCCGGCACTGAGCAGTGTCCAACAAACAAACTCGTCAGTCCACAGGCACATACATGGGCACAGTACAGCTTCCTGGTCCTACATACACAGCCTGCTTGTGATACACAGGCCAGGGTGCACACACACAGGCATACCACTTATGCACACACAGTCACACCACACGCACTTCATCCGTGTCCACCGACACACCTACCTGGTCTGGTGCACATCCCCATGCATGGACACGCAGTTTTAACCACACATGAAGTTTCAGGTCCATGCTCAGCACCAAATGCCCACTGCACCCTGGCCCCAAGACAATCTCCTTCCAGGGTTTAAACCCACTCAGTGGGAAGGAACTAACTAAGCACCCAGAAGAAACTAACTAGGCTGGCTGGGCTCAGTGGCTCACGCCTGTAATCACAGCACTTTGGGAGGCTAAGGCAGGCGAATCACAAGGTCAGGAGTTCGAAACCAGCCTGGCCAGCACGGTGAAACTCCATCTCTACTAAAAATACAAAAAGTTAGCCAAGCATGGTGGCACAGGCCTGTAGTCCCAGCTACTCAGGAGGCTGAGGCAGGAGAATCCAGGAGGCAAAGGTTGCAGTGAGCCGAGATCACACCATTGCACTCTAGCCTTGATAACAAGAGTGAAATTCCATTTTGAAAAAAAAACAAAAAACAAAATTAGCCAGGCGTGGTGGTGGGTGCCTGTAATCCTAGCTACTCGGGAGGCAGAGGCAGGAGAAGTTGCAGTAAGCTGAGATTTTACTGCTGCACTCCAACCTGGGCAACAGAGAAAGACTTCTCAAAATATAATAATAACAATAGATTAATTAAATATTTTTTTAAAATTAAGAATCGTAGAGATTGGGCTGGGCACGGTGGCTCATGCCTATAATCCCAGCACTTTGGGAGGCTAAGGTGGGTGGGATCACCTGAAGTCAGGAGTTCAAGACCAGCCTAGCTAACATAATGAAACCCCATCTGTAAAAAAAAAAAAAAAAAAAGAATCATAAAGATCAAGATCAACCATGATATAAGAAGATATGTGGGGCCGGGTGTGGTGGCTCACGCCTGTAATCCAAGCACTTTGGGTCAAGGAGGGCGGATCACCTGAGGTCGGGAGTTCAAGACCAGCCTGACCAACATGGCGAAACTCCGTTTTTTTAAAAAAAGCATTGTTTTAAATAAAATAAAATAAAAAATAAAAAGAAGGGCCAGGCGTGGTGGCTCAAGCCTGTAATCCCAGTACTTTGGGAGGCGGAGGCGGGTGGATCACGAGGTCAAGAGATCGAGACCATCCTGGTCAACATGGTGAAACCCCATCTCTACTAAAAATACAAAAAATTAGCTGGGCATGGTGGCGCGTGCCTGTAATCCCGGCTACTCAGGAGACTGAGGCAGGATAATTGCCTGAACCCAGGAGGCGGAGGTTGTGGTGAGCCGAGATCGCACCATTGCGCTCCAGCCTGGGTAACAAGAGCAAAACTCTGCCTCAAAAATAAATAAATAAATAAATAAAAATAAAAAGAAGATATGTGATCTGGAAGAGCAAACAAGGCAAAATAATCTATAGAAAGTTTTTGAACTTCTCTGAGCCTCAGTATCCCTGCCTGACAAATGAGCTTAATGGTATTTCCCAAATACCCATTCACGTGAAAACCTTGTAAGTGGCATGGTTTCAGTGCCACCAGCTTTTACATTATACTATTAATCCTCAGGCCAACCCTACTTGGTAAGTGTTATTTACCCAATTTTAGAAACAGAAACTAAGACTCAGAGATGTTAAGTAACTGGCCAAGGTCACAAGCTAGTGAGTGGGAAGGTGGGTAAAACAAGGCTGTGAGATGCCAGAGCCTGGTGCCCTTTTCACCACCAACTACACCGCTGCAGACGGCATCAGGGGGCAGATGGGATGGGCACTGCCACAGCCCATGATGGAAGGTGGAGGGAGAAGTGCTCCCCCAGAGACAGCATGTGTCAAGGCAAAGAGGTGGCATGCACAGAGTTCATGTGCGCAGTGCCTGGCTGTGAGCAGAGCTATGTGGCTGGAGCAAAGTTGCTCTGAGAGGTTGGGACCCTGCTGCAGAGGGTCATTCAAGGCCAGGCTGAGAAACTGAGGATGGAATCTGCACAAGGGGAGGCCTGGCCAAGCTACCTGGGAGGAAAATGGCCGTGGAAGGGATTCAGGACTAGAAGACTCAGTAGGAACCCCGTCGGTGGGGCAGACAGTGATGAGGTGAGCACTGGGGCAGGAGCAGAGATGAGTGTGAGAAGCAAGAATCAGTAGGGCTGGGGAGCCACACACCCACAAACTCGCCAGTACTCTGTAAGCAGGTTGTCACTTTTTCTTTTTCTTTTTTTTCTTTTGAGACAGTCTCGCTCTGTCACCAGGCTGGAGTGCAGTGGTGCAATCTTGGCTCACCAAAACCTCTGCCTCCCTGGTTCAAGCAATTCTCCTGCCTCAGCCTCCAGAGTAGCTGGGACTACAGGCACGTGCCACCACGCCCAGCTAATTTTTTGTATTTTTAGTAGAGACGGGGTTTCACCATGTTGACCAGGATGGTCTCGATCTCTTGACCTAGTGATCCACCTGCCTCGGCCTCCCAAAGTGCTGGAATTACAGGCTTGAGCCACTGCGCCTGGCCCCTCCCTCCCTCCCTTCCTTTCTTCCCTTCTTCCTTCCTTCTTTTCTTTTCTTTCTTTTTCTTTCTTTCTTCTTTTTTCCTTTCTTTTTCCTTTCTCTCCATTCTCTCTCTCTTTTTTTGAGACAGAATTTTGCTCTGTCATCCAGGCTGGAGTGCAGTGTCACAATCACAGCTCACTTCAGCCTTGACCTCCTGGGCTCCGGTGATCCTCCTGCCTCACCCTCCCAAGGAGCTGAGACCACAGGTGTGTGCCACCATGCCCAGCTATTTATTATTAGTAGTAGCAGTAGTAATGAGGTCTCCCTGTGCTTCCCAGAGTGCTCTTAAACTCCTGAGCTCAAGTGATCCTCCCACCTCCCAAACTGCTATGTTGCCCAGGCTGGTTTCAAACTCCTGAGCTCCAACGATCCTCCCACCTCAGCCTCCCAAATTGGGATCACATGTGTGTGCTACCTCGGCCGGCCAGGTTTTCACTTTCACCATCCCAGGTCCAACAGAGTCTAACCTGCCCTGGCCCTGCCTCCGCTCCTCTAGGGTCCTCTGTCACTGCATCACAGGCAGACTGTCCTTTTTTTGTTTGTTCCCACGTTAGAGCTTTGTGCGCTCCATCTCCTCTGCCCAGGGATGCTTGACTCTTTTTTTTTTTTAATAAAGACGGGGTTTCACCATGTTGGTCAGGCTGGTCTTGAACTCCCGACCTCAGGTGATCCGCTTGCCCTGGCCTCCAAAGTGCTTGGATTACAGGCGTGAGCCACCACACCCGGCCTAAGGATGCTTGACTCTTGATCACCACATCATTCTTTTCTTTTTTATCTTCTTCCTTCCTTCTTTTTCTCTGTTTCCTTCCTTCCTTTCTCCCTCCCTCTCTCTCTTTCTTTCTTTCTCCACCACGCCTAACTCCTCTTCCTCCTCATCCAGGTCTCAGCTCAAATGTCACCTCCTCAGGAAGCCCTCCCTGATCCCTCCAGCTAGTAATGTCACCTGCACACCCAGTCACTTGCTAGCACATGAAGCTGGTTCATTTTCTTTTTTCGAGACAGGGTCTCACTCTGTTGCCCAGGCTGGTGTGCAGTGGTGCAATCACCACTCCCTGTGGCCTTGACCTCCTGGGCTCAAGCCTCACACCTCAGCCTCTCCATAGCTGGAACCACAGATGTGTGCCACCATACCCAGCTTATTTTTTGTATAGACAGGGTCTCACTATATTGGCCAGGCTGGTCTCAAATTCCTGGGCTCAAGCAATCCTCTCGCTTCAGCCTCCCAAAGTGCTGGGATCACAGGTGTGGACCACCATGCCCAGCCGAGGCTGTTTCATTTTCTGCATAACACTTTTGAGAATCTGCAATGATCCAATTTATTGGGTTGTTTGTTCAGTCTGTGACCTCCCATGGGAACATAAGCTCCGTGAAAGCAGGGACCATGTCTGTCTTGTTCACTCCAGTATTACCAGCATCTTAAACAGCACCCTGTGTGCAATAGATGCTCAGCACGTATCTGATGAATGAATGATGCAAGGGAAAGGGAAGTGAAAGGAACCGGAAAGAAGATGGGACCAAAGTCAGATAATGGGAAGAGCAGGGAAGTTGGCTGGGCAGGAGAGGCCTTCACGGGTGGCCTCTAACTGCTGCTATGTTTGAGGTGATGTGAACTACCCAAGGGACAGGTCCCAAGCAGGAGGCAGAAGCAGGAGCCCAGAGGCTGGAGGTAGAAATGCAATGGAGAGAAGAGATATACACTTGTCAGGGGAAAATGTTAAAGAGGGGCCAGAGGGGCATGAATGAGCCCGGGGGTCCTCACACCTTGCGGGAAGGGAAGGTTCATAGGGACAGGAAGCAGGCGCAGGGCAGGGCAGCGGCAGATCGCACTCAGGCTCACACACATGTTGCAGTGAGCATGAACAAGGCCTCCCTCCCTCCAAAACTAACAGGAGACTGGGACCCAGGTGGTGCACGAACTTACCCACGGGACAGCATCTCTCTGGAGGGATGAAGTCACGGCAGAGGGCCTCAGGGGGCGGGGCTGAGCCAGTGGCACAGCTGTGCACCGTGGCCCAAGCCAGGTGAGGACGAACCTCTCAGAAATCAGTCACTTCCTCCTCAATCCAGCCTGCCAGGCCAATGGCCCCGCAGGGACAAACCCTGGACTAATAGTCTCCAGGAAAAGGACAGGTGGGGCGGGGCTGGCCTGAGACCGCCCACAGCAGCCAGCTTCCCTGCAGCCCCAGTGCGGGAGTCCAGCAGGCCCTCCCGCCGGTCCAGGGCTGCCTTCCCTCGGGAGAGGAGGAGCCACCTGGAGCTCCACCTGGAGCTCAAGCTGACAGAGCGGCGGGAGGTTGGGTAGGGGCAAAGACCAGGAAGTAACCCTGGCTGAGGGAAGAGCAACCAATGGGGGAAATCTCTCAGTAGGCGCAAACCAAAGGGCCTAAGGAAAAGCCCTAACAGCCCAATTCCTCAGAGAAGGAGGTGCGCCCTGTGCACGCCCACCCACCCAGGGCGCTGAGGAGCCCAGTCCAACCTCTTACCCTGCCCTGGGGAAAGGGGAGGAGCCTCAGCCCTCACTGGAGCAGGGTTAGGCCCAGCCAGGAGTATAGGAAAGAGCTATTCAGGAGGATGCGGCCTGGAAAGGAAGAGAGAATCTGGGGAGGAGAGAGGGAGGTTGTCAGGTCCACAAAGACTGACACGGGGCACGGTGGCTCACACCTGTAACCCGAGGTGGGTGGATCACAAGGTCAGGAGTTCGAGACCAGCCTGGCCAAGATGTTGACACCCCGTCCCTACTAAAAATACAAAAATTAGCTGGACGCGGTGGTATGCGCCTGTAGTCCCAGCTACTCAGGAGGCTGAGGCAGGAGAATCACTTGAACCTGGGAGGCGGAGGTTGCAGTGAGCTGAGATCACGCCATTGCACTCCAGCCTGGGTGGCAGAGTGACAAGAAAACTGACAAGAAGGCTAAGTCGCAGACACATTTATTATTGACTGGAACATCAAGGCCTTTCCTCCCCTGTTAGTGGCACAAGGGAGGGCTAACTCTCAGGAAGCAGCCACGCTGCCACCAGCAGCAGGTCCATGAGGTGGCAGCGTCATGGGTGGCAGGAACAGTGCCTTCAGCTTGCCTGACAGGCTGGCAATCTCGGGATCCTGGGCTTCGTAGGATTTGACCAAGCGGGCAAACTTGAGGACACCTGCAAGAGGGAGTGGAGGGTCAATGCTTCTCCTAAGGACCAGCGTGCCTAAGACAGGTGGAGGGGGTGGTAGTCTGAGCTTGAGCTGTTCCCCCACTGGCAGGGCAGCTGTTGGCAGAACAGCACATGCAGGACTCTGCCCCATGCAGTTTGGATCAACTTCTTATTCTACGTTGGGCACAACTGGATGGGGTGCATGAATGAAGATGTCCCAAAGCAGTGCGCTTCTTGCCCTCAAGTGAACCATTTTAGCAGTTTAGTCACAAGAACCCCAAGTGTGAACACCCACAAGACCCCAGGTCTGTAGCTGGAATGCAGGAGTGCTATGGGGCAGCAGAGCTGCCTGTCAACACCTTTGGGGAACACAAGGATCTCACCAAAAATTTAACCACTAACCCCTAAACAGAAGTTACCTGAAACACCCTGGAGGGACTGCAGCTACTCCTGTCATGCAGACATCTCACTAAAAGGTGGCATAACAGCATCTAAGTCCAGCTCTGCTACTACTAGAGTCTGCACCATTGGAGTTTGCCCCCTCATCACAAAATGGAATGATGATGTGATTAATAGCACAGGTTGATGATCCTTAATTAGAAAATCCAAAGTCTGAAATCATTTGAGTGCCACAAATGGAAAATTACACACCTGACTTCATGGTGGGGGTGGAGTTGACTGTAGTAAAACGCGGTCAAAACTTTGTTTCATGAACAAAATTATTCAGACTTTTTTTTTTTTTTTTTTGAGACGGAGTTTCCCTCTTGCTGCCCAGGCGGGAGGGCAATGGCACGATCTTGGTTCACTGCAACCTCTGCCTCCCGGGTTCAAGTGATTCTCCTGCCTTAGGCCCCCGAGTAGCTGGGATTACAGGCATGAGCCACCATAGCCGGCTAATTTATGCATTTTTAGTAGAGACGGGGTTTCTCCAAGACTGTATTTTTTTTTTTTTTTAATATAGAACGCTTCACGAATTTGCGCAGGGGCCATGCTAATCTTCTCTGTATCGTTCCAATTTTAGTATATGTGCTGCCGAAGCGAGCACCCAAGACCGTAACTTTAGTAGAGCCGGTCTTGAACTCCCGACCTCAGGTGATCCGCCCACCTGGGCCTCCCAAAGTGTTGGGATTACAGGCGTGAGCCACTATTCAGACTATTACATAAAATTACCTACAGGCTATGTGCTTAAGGTGTGTGTATATGAAACAAAACAATTTCGTGTCCAGATATGGGTCCCATCCCCCAAGACAGCTCATGTATATGTAAATATCAGAAATCTGAAAAAACCCGAAACACTTCTGGTCCCCAGCATTTCGGATAAGGGATACGGAACTTCTACAGTACAAAATGCAACTCGGAGGCACGACCTCAGGGTAGAGCCCGGGCTCTGAATGCCAACACGGTTAGTCAGATTATGGCTGCCGCCGTGTGGCGACAAAGGGGAAAACCGCTCAGGGGTCCACAGATCCGGCGCCCTCTCCCGACCCAACCTACCTCCTGCCCGCGTCTGACCCACCTTCCCCGTCGCAGCTGAAGCCATAGGCTTTGATAACCTCCTGCTGGATCTGCGTGGCCACTGGCAGCACGAATTGCAGCATCTTACCCATGTCGTTGCATGCGTTATCCCGAGCCTCGTCCATACGCACTGCATTCTCCGGGGCGGAGAACGCCTGGATCACCTCCGCCAGGACCACTGCGCGCCAGAAGCATCCCAGGGAGGCGTCCCGGGTATGCATGGGAGCACCGGCAGCGGGCCCAGCGGAGAACGCAGGGAATTAGTGGATTGAGGCTATAGGTAACCTAGTAAGATCCCGAGTTGGGGGCAGGCGCCCCACTTAGAAGAGAGGAACGGTACCCGGCGTCCCCTACCCCGTCTCCCCGGCGAATATGGCCAGGTTTGTCGCCCCACATCCTCCGCCCGCTTCCTCCCCGGACCTGCAGCCCACGCCTCGACTAGGCTGTTCCTCACCCTTCGCCTGCTCAGCGCTCAGGGCCGCAGGCTGGGCCGAGGCGGACGCCATAGGGCGGCAGAAGCTGCAAGTGCAGCGGAAGTAATGGAAAGCTCAGGAAGGAGCCACGTCCTAGCAGTCCCCAAGGCGAGTAAGAGCGGAAAGGAAGCAGCATCAGGAGCAGCCGGAAGCCTCAAGGCAGCCCGAACCCCCGCACTCAAAAACTACAACAAGCTTTCGGGCCGGGCATAACTATGAGCGTTGAAACGCAATGACAATTTTATCATACACAACACACTCTATTGTTAAAAACGAACTTGGGGAGAGGGGCTTTCCGGCGAAAACCGGAAAGCCTGCTAGACAAATTCCAAAAGAGCTGTAACACTGGTAGGCATGCGCCGGGAGAGAAGATGGGATATGCAAGAACTCCACAATTGGTGAGGGTGAGCTCAGGTGGCGTTTTTCTTGTTCCTGGACTGTATAAACAATGATGCATGTTGTAACTTTCAGTAGGAAAAAGTAATATTCTAAGGAACTTACTTAAATTATCTAGATTCCCGAACATTTGCTAGCCGCCTATGCAAATGAAGTCAATGCTGATTGGTTGAGAAGAGGCAGTCACAGCCCCTTCGTTTTTAAAGCCGGAGACTTGGATTCGGCTGCAAAAGCCCAGAGCAAAAGGCGTTCTCGCGCTTTCCCAAAATGGCCTTGCCTACTGACGGGCGACAGAGCATAACGCCCGGCCCGATTTCCCCTCTTCCAGGCTTTTGAGATTATCACCCACTCCCCTCTCAAACTGTAGGGCGGTTAAGGTTGCCAGGTACTAATCGCCTGGACCTATTAAAACCAGCCAACCCCACACCGCGCTTTATAGCCGTTTCGTAAAGTATTCCACGGAAAGGATTCAGGACTCTGAAACCTTTGTTCCAGAGGAGTCCGGTGGCTCCTAGCAGTAAGACCCGTAACGGGAACGTCTGAATAAATTCCCAGACCTGACCACGTTAGAGGTGGGCCTGTCTCCGGCCTCCAGGGTTTGGCTGGTTGGGGTTTCTTTTGAGATAGGGCCTTGCTCTATCGCCCAGGCTGGAGTACTGTGGTGCGACCATGATTCACTGCAGCCTCGACCGGCAGGTGATGCTCCCACCTCAGTCTCCTGGGTAGCTGGGACCACATGGGCGCCACAACACCTGGCTGACTTGTTTTTTTTAAGATGGGGGTTCTCTATGTTGCCCAAACTGGTTTCCAACTCCTGGGGTCAAGCAATCCACCGGCCTCAGCCTCCCAACGTGCTGGGATCACAGGCATGAACCACAGTCCCGGCTGAGGCCTCCAGTATCTTGACTTCCCAGCCTTGGGGCAGGAGGGAGCACGAGCACCCGTGGTGTACCACCTCCAGCTGAGTCAAGGCTCTGGGCTCTTCAGGGATCCTCTCTCCAATTCTTTCCGGCCCCCACACCAAGTTCCCTAAGGAGGTCTGGTCCCTTCCCACTTTCCTGCCAGATCCCGGCTACACAGTTCTCTTTAGGTACCACTGCACTGAAATCCAGCCTCACCCCCACATCCCGCAAAGAACCAGTCACAGCCATGTTCCTGGGGCGTTGTGAGGATGTTTTGTTTGGTTGGTTTTGGTTGGGATGTTTTTTTAAGAGCGTCATATAGATATTTATATATATAAATTATTAATGTGGGGAAAGGGCAAGGGGCATACATTGCAGAGGGGGCGCGCACACAGGGATTGGGGAGGGGCACGGGTGGCACACGATGCTACGCAAAACAGCCACATCTAACAGATGAAATCATCACACCAACGGGGCGGGGGAGGGGTGGCGGCCACGGGGGGGGGGGGGGTGGGGGTGGGGGTTGGGCGTGGGGGAGGAGAAAAGCAGGGGGGACAAGGAAGAGAGACCTGGTCCAAGATTCTGTGCACTTTCTGTCCCCACCTTCACCACCTCTCCACCTCTGCACACCACACCCACCACACCAGGCCTGGCCTTGGCCTTCTGTCTGTCTGTCCGTCCCTCCGTCCCTCCCTCCCTCTGTCCAGCAACTGAGCAGCACCCTCTTGGCTCTTGGTGGCAGGCCAAGGGCGGGGTGGGGGGGAGGGTGGGAAGTGCTCCAAGGTTCGATGTAGGAGCCATGGTGCTCTCTTGATCGCAGCTTCTACAGTGGCTTGTCGCTTTCCTTCTTCAGGTGACTAGAGAAGGGGCGGTGCACAGCAGAGAGGTAAGAGACTTGAGACCAACCCTGACCTTGCCCCCTCTTACCCAAGGGGTTGGGAGAGGAGGGGTTCCCTCCCCGCAGGAGCACAGTGCCCAGCTGCACCATGCCCACAGCCCCTCCCAGGCTCACTGAGCTCATGTCCCCTGGGCTGGGGCACCCTGGATTACCTGTAGTAGTCTTCCTGGGCAGGCAGCGGCACACTGTGCAGTGGGTGATGGGCATGCAGCCACTGCTGCTGTTCCAGCGCCAAGCGCTGCAGCTCAGCGGACTGTGCGTGCATGGCCTGCAGCTGATGAGCTGCTGACATCGGGGCAGAAAGGGAGGCCGGCAGGTCCCGGTAAGGGGCAGCTGTGAGCAGGAAGGGCAAGGGGCACATGACCGTTGGATACCAAGTACCTGCTCTGGACCAGGGGATAGCCAGCCCCTTTACATACAAAGGTAATGAACTAAGAAGTTAGGTAACACAACCAGTTCTGTAAGTTGCCAGTGGCAGAGTAGAACTGGGATTCGAACCTCTTAGCCTGACACTAAAACTTGCGCTTCTCTTGGGCAGTGCTTCAGCTTTCCTAGTCTCATGCCCAGCTCCTCTAGGCACCTCCTCACCCTTCCCCAAGCCCAACTAGGCCCATCCCCCTACCCAAAGACCTCCTTTCTATCCTTTTCTCATTAGAGCTTCCCTACCCAAACCTCCATCCTTACCAAAAAGCTGGTGACGAAGAACTTCGTTCTCGTGCAGAGGGTGAGGAAGAAGGGGGTTAGGGAGAGTCCCAGCTGGATAGGGGATCCGGGTAAGGTGAGACCCTGAGGCCAGGGGGTCAATGAGAGGGTGCACCGAGGCAGAGGCTGGAGGGCAGAGAAAAGGAAGGTGTCACCAGAAGGCAGGTTTAGGGAAAACCATGCATTTGGGTGAAGGGATCCAAGCCTGGGAAGTGAGACGGACAAACACAAGGAGCTCCAAAGTGGAACAAAGGCAGAGTGGAAGAACTAGAGGCCTGGGGGGAGGACAGGATGAGTCCTACTGGAGTAAGGGCATATGGATGACAGAGGACAGGAGATTACAGTCACTAGAAGAGTATGAGGAGAGAGAAAGGGAGAGACAGACTGCTTAAAGGAGGTGGAAGATGATAGAATTTTAGGAAATAAGACAGGAAGAAGCCAGGTGCAGTGGCTCAGGCCTGTAATCCCAGCACTTTGGGAGGTTGAGGCAGGTGGATCCCCTGAGGTCAGGAGTTCGAGACCAGCCTGGCCAACATGGTGAAACCCTGTCTCTACTAAAAATACAAAAAATTAGCTGGGCACGGTGGCACGTGCCTGTAATCCCAGCTACTCGGGAGGCTGAGGCAGGAGAATTGCCTGAACCCAGGAGGCGGAGATTGCCATGAGCTGAGATCACACCATTGCACTCCAGCCTGGGTAACTAGTGCAAAACTCCGTCTCAAAAAAAAAAAAAAATTGAATCCAGAGAAATGAGAAAATAGGTCTGTGGGTCTGGCGCGGTGGCTCACGTCTGTAATCCTAGGACTTTGGGAGACTGATGTGGGTAGATCACTTTGAGCTCAAGAATTTGAGACCAGCCTGGCCGAGATGACAAAACCCCATCTCTACCAAAAATACAAAAACTAGGCTGGGGGCGGTGGCTCACGCCTGTAATCCCAGCACTTTGGGAGGCCGAGGCGGGCGGATCACCTGAGGTCCAAAGTTCGAGACCAGTCTGGTCAACATGGTGAAACCCTGTCTCTAAAAAAAATAAAAGAAAAATAAATAAATAAATATACAAAAACTAGCCAGGCTTGGTGGCACGCGCCTGTGGTCCCAGCTACTCCAGAGGCTGAGGTAGGAGGATCACTTTAGCCTGCAAGTCGAGGCTGCAGTGAGCTGTGATTGTGCCATTGCACTCCAGCCAGAGTGAGATCATGTCTCAAAAAAAGTAAGTTTGTGAAGGGCTTGGGGTAATGGGGCTGTGAGGACAGAAAGGTGTGTCCTTCAAAGGCTCCCACACCTGGGCCTGTCACAGGTAGGATATTAGACTACGGAGAAGACTGGGGCATGGGGAATACAGACTCTGTGGCCAGGTGATGCCACCAGGAGAGAAGGCTGAGAGAATGTCAGGAAGGCAAGTATCAGTGCAGCGATCTCAGGAAAGATTCATGTCAGGATAGAGGAGGGAAGTCTTGGCCAGAAGAACAGAAGAGCCCAGTCATGACAGCATGGAAGGTGGCCCCACAGGGCAGGGCAAGGAATGAGGGGTCTCACCTGCATGGATAGCATCTTGCTGGTGCAGGTGCAGGTGCGAGTGGATGTGGGAGTGCTGGTGGTGATGGGGAGTCACATTGAGCATCTGCAGTCGGGCCAGTGGGTCATTGCCCAGGGCCGCCACCCTTTCTGCATGCTGCCTCTCAGCTGCCAGCCGCTCAGCATAGGACATGTCAGGCCGCAGGGCTGGCCCAGCTGCCAGAGCTAGACGCTCTCGCTCCAGGGGCCCCAGGCTTGGATGAAAAGGGAAAGGGTGCAGGCCGGGTGGGCCAGGCTGCAGAGCTAGGCCCCCATGTCGGGGAAAGGGATCCAAGCCTGGCCCAGGGACCCCGTGTAGGGGTTCCAGCTCACTAGGCTTCACCTCGAAGCCAGGCTTGAGACGGTCGCGGAGGTCTCGTTCACGGGCTTCCCGTTCCCTCTCCCTGGCAGCTGGATCACTGCTGTACAGGGCCGGGACGTTGTAACCCAGTAGCCCCGGGTCCACTGCCCCCAGGGGCACGTAGAATGGATGGTTGCGATTGCCAGGAGACATGACATGAGGCCGGGCATATTCACTGAGAGTGCGCAGGGCTGGAGTGTCTGGACCCAGGTAGGGGGGCACTGTAGCCACTGCACTGCCCGGTTCAAATGGAGGGCGATGGGGCACTGGGCCCAGAGATGGGCATTCCACCGGAGCACGGCCCTCCTGAGCCAATTTCTGTGGGGTAGAGGGAAAAGTGGAGTCAAAGCCGCAGTTAAGGAAAGAAGTGTCTGGTTTCAAGCTGCTCATTTGTCTGACAGCTGAATGCCAAAATGCCTCACCTCACTAAATCTCTGCCTACCTGGAACTTAACTGCGACCCTCCTCCCGGACATTTGCCCTTCTTGGGACTCACAGGTAGTCCCACCTGTGCATGCCTCCCCCGCATCCCAGGA